CCCCGGCCCTCCCCCACTGTTCCCCTCCCCCGCAGCCTCAGCTCACTGCGCCGCCGGCGCGCGGCCCTGACCCGGTCTCTGTGCTGTGCGGTGGCATGGCTGGCTCCAGCCGGGCGGCGCGGCTGCCTGTCCTGGAGCTCTGGGCAGCGCGGCTGTAGCGCCGCCAGCCACCGGTGCTCCAGGTAGCGTGGTAAGGGGGCAGGGAGCAGGGGGGGTTGGATACAGGGCAGGGGAATTCGGGGTGGTGGTCAGGGGGTGGGCGTGCGGATAGGGGTCGGGGCGGTCAGAGGGCAGGGAACAGGGGGGTTGAATGGGGGCAGGGGTCCTGGGCGGGGCAGTCAGGAAGGAGGGGGGTTTGGATGGGGTGGCAGTCAGGGGCAGGGGTTCCGGGGGTGGTCAGGGAGAAGGGGTGGTTGGATGGGGCAGAGGTTCCGGGGGGGGGGCAGTCAGGAATGAGAGGAGGGGTTGGATGGGGTGTTGGGGGGCAGTCAGGGGCGGGGAGTCCAGGGGCAGTCAGGGGACAGGGAGTGGGGTGTGTGTGGATGGGGCAGCAGTCCTGGGGGGGCCGTTGGGGGGATCTGATAGGGGGCATTGGCTGGGCCACGCCTGGCTGTTTTGGGAGGCACAGCCTCCCCTAACCGGCCCTCCATACAATTTTGGAAACCCGATGGGGCCCTCAGGCCAAAAAGTTTGCCCGCCCCTGACCTAACCTGATCTCCTGTATCGCTCAGCCGCCAGCACCCGTACAGTAAGCCCAGCAGCCGAAATAAGACCAAGGTTTCACAGCCCACGGGAGACTAGACTGTTCTGTGCCACAGGCAGAGAACGGGAGGGACCCCGGTGCACCAATGCCGGAGGCTCCTGCAATAGCAGGAAATTGATCAAGTGAGATGTACTCAGCTAATCCCGGCAAGTGACCTGCACCCACATGCTACAGAGGAAGGTGAACCCCCCCCAACTCACTGCCAGTCTGACCTAGGGGGAAAGCTCAGGGAGAGGCGCGGGCTATCACCCAGCTGATGGGGAGGGCAGCGAATGGATCGCCTGGACGGAGGGGCAGCCCCCTCAAGAACAAGCCGTTTTCTCGGAGTCATCAGGGGCTGAACTGAGGAAAAATCCGGTTCAATTCAAACCAAACCAAAAAGCTCTTCGCAGTTTGTCGAAAAACTACAAACATAAAATGTTTTGAATGCACCCAAGACGTTTTGAGTCGACTCAAAATGATTTTTTTTTTTACATTCAGTTTCGGGGCCGGGGTTTCCCTTGTTAAACTGTCGAAACTTGGAAGTTGAAACAAAAAAAGTCAAAACCAAACTTTTCGAAATGGTCGGCAGGAAACGTTCGAACTCTTTGTACATTTTCTGAAGCTAGTGGTTGAATTCACCCCGAAGCCGGTGGGGAGCTCTGGGCCCCAAAAGCTATGGATAAAAAAACCAATTTGTTGGAACAATGGTGCCCTGCTCCTGTCGGGCTTTGCCTGATGGCTGCTTCGCCCTCTGGAGGCTGGCGGCCTAGCCCCCGGCTAGCGGTGTGTGTGGCGATGGGAGCCTAGAGACCAGTTTGGCCATCTTGTGCCTGTACCCAGTGGCTCGCCGTTGTCTCTCCTCTGCAGGCCGTCCTGTCCGACGCCGACAGCGCCATCCACCTCACGGGCACGGAGCGAACGACGGACGTTTCGGACAGCGACGCCACGGGATTCAGCCTGCGGGGCCTCTCCTCCAGCCTTCGCACCCCGTCCCCGCTCCGGCGCTCCTCCCCCCGGCGCAGCTCCTCGCCCCGGCGCAGCCTCTCGCCGGCCTTCTCCGACTCCACGCTGGCCGTGGTGCACTCCGCCTTGCAGAAGAGGCAGCTGCAGGTGCAGGTGAGGGGACGGGGCCTCCCAGAGCACGAGGCCATGGGATTCCTTCATGGCTGGGCACCCAGACGTACTCCTGCTCCCCAGCTCTGCGAGGCTGCGTGGGATGGGGCCATCTGTGGGGTTATAGCTCTTGGGGTTGCATTTCTGTGGGGCTGCTGGTGCCCACCAGGGGAGGGGGAAGGGAACAGGGTTGCTCTGCTGATGAAGGAGCCTGACGGAGTAGATGCTGGGCTGGGAACCCCGGGGAGATTTTCGTGCCTGGCAGGGAATAGGATTCTGGGGAGGGTGGGATTCCCATGGGAGATGGTTGGCCATAGGGCGTGGAGTGTGGTCAGCCATGCAGGGGGTGCACCGGGGTGGGGGGGCAGTGCCGTAGAGGGAGAGAAGCTGACTCCTTGGGGTTTCTGCTAGGACATCCGCAGCAAGTACGAAGCCATCCAGGAGCTGGTGGGCTCCCTGAAGAAGCAGCTGGCGGAGAGAGATCACGAGCGCCGCTCCCTGGAGCAGAAGATCTTGCAGCTGAAGGACGACGTCGACTGCTCCTTGCGGGCCAAGGACGACGCCGTGCGGGATGCCAGCCGCTTCCGCTCCTCGGCTGACCTGCTGGGCAGGTACTTCCAGGGGCGCTCCCCCCGTCCCGTCCCCCTGTGCTCCAGCGTAGGATGGGCGTCACGCGGGCATTTCTGCCCTGCTGGCATCCTGGGAGCAGAGCCACTCTGAGGCTCTGCACCACAGAGCAAGTGCCCTGGAATGTGGGGAGGGTTGATTTTTGTTCAGCCCCCAGAACTCTGTCTGTCTGTGCCCGTCTGTCAGTGAGAAGAGCAACCTGGAGCGAAGCCTTCAGGCCCTGCAGCAGCACGTGGAGGCCCTGCGGCAGGAGAGCGAGAGGCTGCAGCTGGCCAACAGCGACCTGCAGCGGCAGCGAGATCACCTGGAGGACGAGAAGGAGGACATCGCGAAGGACAAGGAGCGGGCGCAGAAGGAGATTGAACGCGGGTTGGTGTGGGGAGAGTGGCCGGCTTGGGGGGTGCGGGGCAGGCGTGGAGGAAAGACCGAGCTAGACGCAGAGGCTCCTCGGTAGCCACCCCCCTCCAGTGACCAGCACCCTAGCCCGGTGCTCCGACATGCCAGGCCTTCCTCCCCTTAGCACCCCAAGGCAAGCCCTGCTAGTGCCCATGCCCAGAATCCCAGCCCTGATCCTGGGGCCCAACCCTGAGGTCCTGCAGACCCAGGCTGCCTGGCTTCCAGGGGAGATGGCGTTTCTCCATGGGTCACTTGAGCTGAGCTGGTCTAAAAACAACCCCCGTTCGTGGTGTTTTCCCTTCTCTTACTGCGGACACCTGGGCCGAACGCTCTGCCTGGCTGGTTTAAGCTTAATCTCCAGGCGGTGAGGTGGTGCAAAGGGAGGGCACTGAGTGATGAGCAGGGCTGGTAAAAGCAGACGTTCTTCTATAAAGCACCACAAGAGGGCAAACCACTCATTGATCGCATCCAGAGAGACAAGGCAGGTGAGGTCAACTCTCTTGCTGGACCAACGTCTGGTGGCGAAAGAGACACGCTTTCGAACCACACGGAGCTTTTCTTCAGATCTGGGAAAGGTACTTGGTGCGTCCCAGCTAAATACAAGGTGGGACAGATTGTTTCGTAGTAGTGAAGAGGAGCTCTGTGGAGCTCGAAAGCTGGTCTCTCTCACCAACAGAAGTTGGTCCAATAAAAGATATCCTCACCCACCTTGTCTTTTCCATATCCTGGGGTTAACACGGCTACAACGCTGCAAATAATCTCATATATAGTGTGTGTTTGTGTGTGTGTTCTGGCTATACCTAGAAAAAATGGTCATTTTTTTCAGAGCCATAAAGATTCAGAAATGACTCTGTTCATTTCCTTCAAAATTTCCAAAAACCTCACTTCTGTCCTGAATGTTTTCAGGCAAAAAGAGGCGCGGGGGCTCTGAGCTGCCAGGCGCCGGGGCTCTGAGCTGCCAGGCGCGGGGGCTCTGAGCCGCCAGGCCCGGAGGCGCGGGGGCTCTGAGCCGCCAGGCCCGGAGGCGCGGGGGCTCTGAGCCGCCAGGCCCGGAGGCGCGGGGGCTCTGAGCCGCCAGGCCCGGAGGCGCCGGGGCTCTGAACCGCCAGGCCCGGGTCGCCGGGGCTCTGAACTGCCAGGCCCGGAGGCGCCGGGGCTCAGCCTTGGCAAGCCCCAGCCCAAATTAAGCCTTGCCTAGATTCCAAGAGTGGATCATCTAGCCTGACCTCGTGTATAAGACAGGCTGGAGAGTTCCACCCATTGGACTAATTAGCTCACAAGCTATTCAGAGGCCCTGTGTTGTGCTCCTGCGAGGATAGCCAGTGACTAAGGGTGTTCAAGGTCCCCGGCTGCCGGAACAGTTCAATGGCGGTGTATGTGAGTGCCTCTCTGTGCCCTGCAGCCACAAACAGCTGGAGCAGCTGGAAGTGAAGAAATCCAGTCTGAAAAAGGAGCTGATGCTTGTTAAGGAGGCTCTGAACAAAGCCACCCTGGAGAAGGAGGTGTCTGAGAATGAGAAGGTGGAGGTGGCGGAGGCTCTTTCCAAGGTAGGGCTTTGCACCACGAGAGGCAGTAGGGGATTGGGGGGAGGGGTCGGGTGTTACATGGGGGCTCAGGAGTAGCTCTCGGGCCGGCTGCTATGAATGCGCTGGATGGATAATGCTGTGGTAGCATCGCTCGTTTTGCCACTTCCAATCCACAGCTCTGATTTCAAGGCAGCTCCCGCAGGAGATCTTGACTAAGGAGGCTCCCCTCTCTAGCGCCTCTCATCTGAGGCCTGCAGACAAAACTGTGCTTCACAACTACCTGATCCGATGGGCAGGTGCTGCACCCATGCTAGAGGGGGAGCACGGCCTAGTGGTTACAGCGCAGGACCAGAAGGCAGGATTCCTGCGTTCCGTTGCCTGTCACGCTGCCCGCTGTTGGCTCATTGTTTCATGATGCTTCCCTGTCTGTCTGTATCCACCTGCTCGCTCTTGTCTTGCACTTAGCTTGTCAGCAATCTGGGGGAGGGAGCATCTTGTTCTGGGTTTGCAAAGCGCCGAGCACAGCAAGGGCCCGGGCCATGGGGCTCCTAGAGCCTATGGTAATACAAATAATTAGCTAACAACGGATCTGCTCTTGGGCAGGCCACTGACCTTCTCTGCTTCCTCCTTCAAAGCAGGAGAAGGACCCGTCCCGGCCTCGCAGGTGTCGTAGCCTTGATTCATATTTAGACTGTGCTTGGGGGGGTGGGGGGAGGGATAGCTCAGTGGTTTGAGCATTGGCCTGCTAAAAGCAGGATTGTGAGTTCAATCCTTGAGGGGGACACTTAGGGATCTGGGGCAAAATCAGTACTTGGTCCTGCTAGTGAAGGCAGGGGGCTGGACTCAATGACCTTTCAAGGTCCCTTCCAGTTCTAGGAGATAGGATATCTCCATTAATTTAATTTGAGACGCAGAGGGGCAAAGGGAACTTGCCTGAGGCCACCGAGTGAGTCAGTGACAGAGCCGGGAATAGCGCCCAGGACGCCGTCCCTGCTGTAACCATTGGAGGGCGCTGCGTTTCTTGCAGCCCGTTTGCTTTGTTTTAGGCATGCAGCACTGGGACAGTAGGGGGCTGCCCCAGGGCTGGTGAAGGGGGGATTCACACCCCTGGCTTATCCAGGCTTCCATCCGCGTCCTCCCCTGCCGGGCAGCTCTCCACTCCCTGTGGCGCTCTGCGGGAACTCCTCTGCCCAAGTTGCTGCAGTGACCGGCTGTTCCATCTCTCTGCCCCCCGCCCCATGTTCGCAGGCGGAGGCGGGCCGGGCCGAGCTGGAGCTGACCGCTAGCAAGCTGAAGGCGGAGGAGGCCTCGCTGCGCGACTCGCTGTCCAAGATGAGCTCCCTGAACGAGGGGCTGGCCCAGGATAAAATCGAACTCAACAGGATCGTCAGCCAGGTCGGTGCCGCCTTGGGCTTGGCGGTGGGGCTCAGCGCCCCAGCGCCTCCTGGTGGCCCCGGGCTGGGGACATTGACCTTGGCAGGCAGCCTGAGGGGAGACTTGAATCTCTGCTTTTCCAGGGGCGCCTCAGTGGGAGACAAGTGCCCTAGCCCGGTCTGTCCTAGACGGAGGGAGGGTCGGCCTGGCCCGTGGCTCCTTCCCACGGGGAGGGATCCTGGAGGAGGAGATGGGCAGGGGGTGAACAAGGAGCTGCCCCTGTTTCCAAGGCCGGTGACGGCCTCTCTTGCCCCTGGCAGCTGGAGGAGGAGAAGGTGGCCCTGCTGGGGCAGAAGCAGGAGGTGGAGCAGGAGAAGACCTCGATCCGCGACGAGTTGGTCCGGCTGGAGCAGGAGAAGGTGGAGCTGGACGCGGAGCGGCAGGGCCTGCAGCACTCCCTGAAGGATGGGGAGCGGAGCCGGGAGAGGCTGGAGCGGGAGCTGCTGGCCCTGCAGAAGGAGAGGGTGCAGCTGCAGGAGCAGCTGGGGCAGGTAGGGGGGTGGGGCGCAGGAGGGCATGCGCTTGGGGGGTGTGATTGCTAGATGCTGGCAGTTGTGGGGGTGTTAGGATTTGGGGGTCAAGTTGGGGGTGCTGGGGGAGGAGGCTGGGGGGTGGTGGGGGCCTGGGTGGGGAGCAGGCTGGGAGGCTCTGAGAGCCGGGGAGGCAGGTGGACACAACAGCTGAGATGGGTCTCTCCAAGAGGGGCTGGAGCCTGGCTCCCTGTGGTAGGGGGCTGGGTGCCCAGGGCATGGCCTCCCCTCCAGGCTCAGCTCTGCCTGTTCTCCCCTCCCCGCCAGCTGTCCCGCCAGAGGAACGCGGCCGGCGAGGAGCTGGGGCAGGCGCGGCGGGAGCAGGAGCGGCACAGCGAGGCCCTGCTGCGAGCCACCAGGGAGAAGGAGGGGCTGATGAAGGAGAAGGCCAGCCTGGTGGTGCAGCTGGCGGCGTCGGAGCGGGAGAACAGGGGGCTGGCGGAGGAGATCGCTGGGCTCCGGTAAGGTTCGGGCTGGCCAGGGTCCCTCCTGCGGCTGGGCGCATGGAGCCCCTGGCCTCTCCCTCCCCACGGGTGCTGGGAATGGGGATCCCTCGATGGGCACCCTGCCTTTGGGACCGCCTACGGGGCTTAGCTGCACGTGGAGACGAGGCCCGACTTCTTGGCACCAGTCCAGAAACCGCGGCAACCCCCCTTGGATAGGCGGGCCCGGAGCAAGGCCGAGGGGTGCGAGCGGGGATGCAGGGAGGCTGCATCCTTGCTGCTCCAGCTGTGAGGTTCGAGAGAGGCTCCTGGAGCCGCTGGATGCAGGCGTGGCGAGCTCCGGGGCCAGGTGCACAGCGAGCTCTCCCTGAGGCAGCTGCCTGTGTGGGTGTGTGGGAGGGTTACCAGGGAGCAGTGTTTGCAAACAGTTGTGTCAGGTCAGGGAGTGGGGGAGCACGGAGCTTCGTGCCGAATGGCAGCTTTGGGTCTGTAGGAGCAGGTGGAATCTCTCATGTCGCAATCCCCAGGCAGGTCAGTGTCTCCCCCCAGCTCCGGCCTTTCCTGTCCCATCTCCTCGTTGCCCTGTCTCTGCTCCGTGCACTTCCCAGGCCTGGGGTCAGATCTGTGCCGGGGCAACCGCCCTGGCTGGGACGGAGCTGGCCCTTCACCCCTGGGCCATACTGCAGCTGCCCCCTGCTCTGCCAGGAGGTGTGAGATCGAGTGGGCACCTTCGCCGCTGCCCTGCGGACGACCCCACACCTGCGCATCTGCAGGGAGCGCCTAGCGGTGTGGGCCTCTCCGGGGGTCCCTGAGGCCTTGCTGCCGGATCTTCCTGACCTCAGGGCAGAGGTTTGCAGAGGGAGCGACTTCCCGGCGCTCTGAAATGCACCACTGTGCCCATGGCAGGAGGGTGCATTGGGGTGGCTTTCCACACCTCCTTGGAGGGACCCAATGGGGATTTTAAGGGCTGGTTGCCCTCCGATTCAGAGGCCAGGGTGCTGCCATGTGCCAGGACCCACGGCGTGCCTGTTCCGTCCCCAAAGCAACGTGCTTCACGTCTTAGAGCGTCAGCTCCGTGAGGCCATTTTGTTCCGGCTTTGTCCAGCGCCTAGCACACCGGGGGCCTGCTCCATGAGTGGGGGGTCTTCCTCATCACTTCCTCGGTGGCTTTCTCTCTCTCTCTCTCTCTGCATGAGGGCAGGGGCAGGGGCTGGTGATTGGGAGGACTCACTCTGCTCGCTCTGCTCGCTCTTTCCCAGGTCGGAGAAGGATGCCTTGGAGACCACCCTCTTTGACATCCAGCAGCAGCTCTCTCAGCTGGACGCCCGGAAGGAGCAGTTGGAGGCCGACAGCCAGAACCTGCTCCTGGCCAAGGAGATGCTGCAGGGTAACCTGAGCCTGGCTGCCCCACCCCCCATTTCCTTCCGCTCCCCATTGGCCAGGCTCTGGTGGCTGGATTGAGAGGGAGAAGGAGGCTGGTCCAGTGGGTAGGAGACAGGACTGGGGGCCCTGAGTTCTAGTCCTGCTTCTGCTGGGGAGAATGACACCCTCCCCCTTTGTAATGGGCTGTGAGCTGTGTGGCTGGAAGTCTCTAGGTGAGGGCTGCGAGATGGTCAGGGTCCCCGTCCCTTCCATGCTGCCGAGACTCCCAGACCTCGGGAAGGGCTGTAGGTAGCAGATCTCCCTTCACGCTGTGGCTGTTGACCGGATCCTCCTTGCTCTACCCCCAGTGGAGCTGGTCAGCGTCCGCAAGCAGAGGGAGGTGGACGTGATCCGGCTGGAGAGGGACAAGGAGCTGCTGGCTCAGAAGTTGGCTCAGGCGGAGCAGGAGGCCCAGGTCACGCTGAGAAACAAGCAAGCGGCTCACGAGGAGGATGTCGATCGGCTCCAGAGGGAGAAGGTACGGCAGGGGGCAGGCCCCATGTCTGACTCAGACCTGCGCCATGTTACGTACCCCCGCGGCTCAGTCCGATAGGGGAAGGGATCCCAGCGAGTCCATAGCAACGTCTCCTTGTCTTCTATGGCGCCGGCTCAGGCCCTTTGGGATTGACCCTGCAGCGGGAGTACACGGATCTTTCCTGTGGGTTTCAGGGGTAGAGACAGTGAGTTTTTCTGAGCACAGGGCTGGAATCCAGGGATCCTGGTTCTGCCGCTGGCCCCCTTGGGCACGTCACGGAGCTGGGCCTGTTCCCAGCCACGAAATGGGGTGGATAACGCCCGCACTGCTACGGGCTGGTCCGTTTATATTTCTGATACACTCAGGAGCTGTCCCAGCGAGTGGCATTGAGTAGGTGCTGCTAGGGAAGTGACTTGGGTGGGTCGCTGGATCTTTTACTGCATGGGTCACGGAACTCGGGACGATTGGGCAGTTACGGCGAGGGGCGGGCAGGGACTGGAGTAGCAGGAGGGGGCTCGGCGAGCGGAGGAGTGCTGCAGGTCATGCTTGAAGACATAGGCGCCGACTCCATGGGTGCTCCGGGGCTGGAACACCCCTGGGGAAAAATTGGTGGGTGCTTAGCACCCACCGGCAGCTCCCTGCCCCGCCCCCCAACCCCAGCTCGCCTCCGCCTCCTCCCCTGGGCGCACCGCGTTCCCGCTTTTCCCCCTGGCTCCCAGCGCTTGCGCCTTGAAAAACAGCTGATTTGCGTGGCAAGCGCTGGGAGGGAGGGGGAGGAGTGGGAACACGGCGTGCTCGGGGAAGAGGTGGGGCTGGGGCAGGGACTTGGGGAAGGGGTTCAATAGGGGCAGGGAGGGGGTGGAGTTGGGGGGGGACTTTGGGGAAGGGATTGGAATGGGGGCGGGGCAGGGCAGGGGCAGGAAAAGGGTGGAGTCGGGGTGGGGGGGCACCTATACTTGAAGGGCATCAGCAGAGCTGAGGGGGCGCCCAAGGGTGGACTGGCAGGGGGCTGCGGGTCAGGACTGGGGGGTACCGGCAGAACTGGGGAGGAGCCTAGGCCTAGAATAGCCGGGGCCTGGGAGTCAGATTTAGGGGCTTCGGCAGAGCTGTTTGGGGGGGTGTTGAGCTTCCACAGAATCTGGTCTGGCCATTCCCGTGTCTAGCTGGTGGCGGTTTAGTTCCTGGCACCCGGATTCTGGAGCCACAGATGCTTGTACAAACTGGGGACAGGTCCCAGGTTAGCTCAGGTCCATACCGGTGGGGCTGCCCTAGTGGGTATGTACCTAAGTCCGTCCCATTGGCTTTCCTGGCTGGTGCGTGCTCGCTGTCTGGAGGTTCTGTGCTTGGGGAGCTGCATTGGCGCAGGGGGTGCGAAACAGGCCCCGTGCGACTCTCGCTGACGTCAGCCCGGTTTACCCCAGTGCAGCGCATCTGTGCTGGGGGTTTGCACTGGAGCAGCTGCTCTGGTGCAGGAAAATAACCCCCCTGTGGAGATGTCTCTTGGCTGAATGCCCAGTCCTGCTCCCATCCAGCCCCTAGGAGGAATTTGCTTGTTTGTCCCTAGAGCAGAGCCCCGCCCCAGTCTCCTTAGACTCCTCCCCCCGGTGAAACAGGAGGTGGGCTCTGCACTGCAAAGAGCAGCGGACTAGGTGACTGCAGGACCAGGGGTGGGCCTAGGCGACCAGGTGTCCGGTGTTGGGCCGGAACGACCAGTCAAAAAGGAATCCCGACGGCTCCAGTTTGTGGTGCTGCAGCAGGGCCGGAAGTAGCCAGCATGTCTGGCTCCTAGCCTGAGGGGCTGCCGGGCGGGGGGGTGTCCGTGTGCTGCCCTGCCCTCAGGCACCCCCATCCCCCGTCCCTGCATCCCTCCCCGTCTCACCCCCCCACGCCTCCATCCCCCGTCCCTGCATCCCTCCCCATCCCACCCCCCCCCACTGCATCCCTCGATCCCGCATCCCTCCTGTCCCAAACCCCCCGCACCCCATCCCTGCATCCCTCCCCGTCCACCCCCCGCACTGCATCCCTCGATCCCGCATCCCTCCTGTCCCAACCCGCCCCCGTGCCCATCCCTGCATTCCTCCCCGTCCTACCCCCCCGCACCGCATCCCCCGACCCTGC